AGGCCGTCTTCACTCAAGCCCGTCTTCATTCAATACATCCTATCCGATCACTTCTCGCAACTCGCCATGTCTTCTCCGCAGCCCGGAACAGCGTCGGATGCTACCGCGATCGCGCCAGCTCGCGCACCGGGTACCCCCGTGGGCAAGCTGTTCAACAACCCGTTCATGAAAAAGGCGCGCACTAAGTACTCGGACTCCCCTCTCTCACCTCTACTCCCGAAGGATGGTTACCAGAAGATGGAGGATGACCAGGATGAGGAGGAGCTGATCCCAGGACCAATCGAACAGTTGAACTTCGACGGAGTGGCGGAGGACAGCAGCGGGGGAAGGGGGCAGGTTACGACGGCGAGTATCGCAGGTCTCCTCCGGAAGGAGATGGCGCCCATGACTAAGGCGATTCAGGACCTCCAGAAAGGCTTCGGGAATCTCGACCTGCGCATGTCCTCCCTCGCGGACTCGGTGGACGTCCGCCTGAGCAACGTCGAGAAGCGCATCGACATCACCGAAGTCCAGATCGAGAAGCTCGAGAACCTCGTCAAGCAGCCCTCCGAGAAGGGCAGCTCGTTTCACACGACCCTCCAGAAGGATTCAGGCGGCCATGGCATGGGAGGAGGGGGAGTGACAGACAAGCGGAATATTACAGCAGTGGTAGGCAATCTCGATTCGCTCGACTCGCTGGAGGCGGCCAGTGCCTGGCTTCACGACAAACTTTCTTCGCTCCAGGGCCCACCACCAGCCAAGATCTACTCGAAAGGGGACTTCGGCGGGGTATTGTTCGCGGAGTTCCAGAACTCTGGTCAGCGAGATGCGGCAGTGGATCTCCTGAGGAAGGCAGGGTTGAAGTCCAGAGGCAAGAACATCTGGGCAAACAAGGGCCGCCCAATTATGGAGAGGGCAGCTCGGAACTTCTGCTTTGGCCTGAAGCACGTCTTCAAGAAGGCGTGGGACATCCCATACACAGTCTCCGTGAGTGACGAGGCCCTTACTCGGTTTGGGTTGGGGGGGAGTTGGCAGTGACCGCGCACATTTTCCCAGACAAGGTCGTTCGCGAATGGCACGGGGACTGGGCCTCTTGGGAGGAGTCCACAGCAGCCCGGAGGTGACGGACCTTACGAACAAGTGCGACTCCCTCGCCGTGAAAGCCACCACGGGCATGAAGGGCTCCAAGGGTCGCGGCAAAGGCGGTGGCCTCAGAATAGGGTCTACAGGAGCCGTCCGGCACGGTTTCACCGAGAGTTTCACAATCGAACTCTTTATCAACTTGTACATATGCACGTGCTGGGAGCAATGGCGCTGGAGACCCTGGCTTTCGAGGTGGGAATCTGCGCCCTTGCGGGAGGGACGTTCTGCTGGGTTCCTGGAACGTGGAGGGGCCCACCAAGGCAAAGGTGGAGGAACTCCAGGTTCACATGCAGGAGCTTAGTATTGATATTTTGGCATCACAAGAAACTCACAAGTACGAGTCCGTGTACGATATTACAGACAACGGTTTCCTACTGATCCAATCGGGGGACTCAGACGATCAGGAGACCGCCGGCGTTGCTTTCTTGATCGCGCCAGACATCCGGAGAAACATCGTCGGTTTTCGGATGGTTTCTGCCAGGATCATGTTGATCAAGTTGCGTGTCCATGGTGGGGAGCTTCCTATCTTCAGTGTGTGCGCCCCTCACAGTGGCAAGCCCTTGAACGCCAGACGGGTTTTTTACACAAAGCTTGGAGAAGAGCTATCTGGCGCATCTGGCCGGCAACGGGCAGTGGTGTTGGGCGATTTCAATGCGAGGCTGCACAGGCGCTTCGCCGGGGAGTCCGCGCACCTGGGGGAACACATATTCGGCAACCCTGCCGCGCAGCATAATCCGTCTTCCAATCGGACGTTGTTGCTCGAGCTGTGCAGCACCCATGACTTCGTGAGCGCGAACACATTCTTCAACCATCCCGCAGAGCAGCACGTCACGTGCTACAATGTCGGATCACAGCCGTCCAGTCCAGCAGTCCCAGAACATTATGGCCAAATCGACTTCTTGTTATGCTCCGGTGCACGCCTGGAGTGCGTGACAGACGTCCGAAGCAACAAAGATATAGCTCTCGCTTCTCACCATTTCTTGCTGTTGTGCTACGCCCTGCTCGACATCGACGACGCCCGCCAACCGTGCCGGCAGAAAGTCGACGTGCAGGCGCTCGCTCAAGCACCGCCCCAGCGAAGCTTCAACAACGTTTTCGCGGACTACATGGCAGCAGAGCGTCGGGGGGCCCGGCAGACGCTCGACGAGCTGAACATTAGCATAGTTGCTGCCTTTTCTGCTTCTGCTGCTGCGTGTCTGCCCCAGACCCGGCAGGCGCGCAGGCGCCCGTGGATCAGCGACGCCACGGTGGAACTGATCGCAGCTAGGAACAGGGCCCGGGCGGGGGGCCATCTGGCACGCGAGAAGATTCTCAATGGCAGGATAAAAGCTTCTGTGCAGAACGACAAGAGCATCTGGCTGGACAAGCGACTGCAGACCGGAGATTGGGACGAAGTCCGAAGGTTGCGCAAAGGTTCGACGGCCGCGCAGGGCCGAATGAAGGACTCACAAGGGCGCCTTGTAGACAGCGACCTGAGAGCGCAAACTCTGGCAGAATATTTCGAGAACGTGCAGTGGGCAGTGAGGCCGACTACGGTCGTCGACAATCCCGAACCAATGGGGGGCGCACTCCCGACAGAATTGGGGCCGGTTACCGAGCAGGAAGTATGCGAAGCGGCGCGAGTTCTGAAGCGGAACCGGGCCGCGGGAAAGGACGGCGTGCCAGCTGAGTTCTGGAAGGCTGCGTGCGTGGCTGAGACGCCAGCTTGCCAGTGGGCTGTCTTACTTTGCAACCGGTGTTGGCTGGAAGCAGACGTTCCCGAAGCCTGGCACGAGGCTGTCGTTTCTGCAATATTCAAGAAAGGCGATTCTTCTGACTGTGCAAATTATCGACCCATATCCCTTCTGCCGATTGGGTACAAGTTGCACGCAATGATATTGTTGTCGCGACTGAAAAAGGCAGGGGCCGAAGAACGCATATGGACCACTCAACTCGGCTTCCGATCTGGCCGGGGAACAGCGGACGCTCTGTTCATCGCCAGGTGTTCGATCGAGGACACGTGGGGCTCCGAAGCAGGCGAGCTGATTCTCCTCGCGCTTGACTGGGCGAAAGCGTTCGACAGCGTGTCTCCCGATGGCTTGGCGCAGGCGCTCGTCCGCTTCGGTGCGCCCGAGAAGTTCGCATCGGCGGTCAAGGCCATATATGCTAACCAGAGCTTCTGCGTGCGCGACGCGGGGCCCATGTCCGATTCAAGGCCGCAAGCGTTCGGGATATCACAGGGATGCCCGCTGTCGCCTTTTCTCTTCTCGATCGTGATGACCCTGCTGATGTTCGAAGCGACGCGCAGCATGCTCGGCAGAGGCATTCATCAAGATGGCCGGCTGCACCTGAGCGAATTGATCTACGCCGATGACACATTGATTGTTGGTGTGACAGAGGAGTACGTCCGCGATCGCATGGAGAGCATCAGAGAGGCCGGCACCAATTATGGCTTATGTTTTCATTGGGGAAAGCTAGAGGTAATGTCAGTTCGTTGCCAAACACAGCTCCTATGCCCTGACGGTCAACCGATCACCCAGAAGGATAACATGGTGTATCTTGGGGTGCTGCTCCACGCAGACTGGGGGAGCGGAGCTGAACTCAGTCGGCGCGTCGGCATGGCCCAGAAAGATTTCGACACGCTCTGCAGACTGTGGAGACACGCAAAGATATGTCTGCCCAAGAAGGTCATGAGATTTGAAGCCTGTGTCGTGTCCAAGCTGATGTACTGCCTGCACACCCTCTGGTTGAACCAGGCAGAGAGATCGCGACTAGACGCCTTCCAAGCTCGGTGCCTGCGAAGAATCGCTGGAGTCCCTCACTCCTATCTCAGCCGTGTGTCCAACGCAGCCGTGCTGGAGAGGTGCGGCAGGAATCGTCTGACATCCAGTTTAGCTTGCAAGCAGCTCGAACTGATTGGAAAAATCGCTTGTCTACCAGACGACAATGTCACGCGACGAACGGTATTCCAACCAGGGTCGTTCATCCTAGCCCGCCCTTTCGGGCCCCGGAGGCGAGGCAGACCGAGGAATACATGGAAGCGCAATGTGTTTGACTTGGCCTGCGCAGCGGCCGGTGGCCGAGACGCCTTGGAGGAGCTGTGGCGGCACAGACCTGGAGACTGGCGCGGAGTCGCAAGGCGCTTCTCTTCGCAGCTGTAGCATTCAGCAGATATGGGTGGTTTGTCTGAATGTGGAGTGGACTGTCTCTGTTTACGGGGTGGTGGGGGAGCCACTCACATGGACTGAAACAGCGTGAGCAGTGAGCCTGCCAGTGCTGTTTCCTCCTCGCCCTCCTCCTCGCTTTCGTCCTCCTCCCCCTCGTCGTCCTTCCCCCCCTTCGCCGCCGCCGTCGTCGCTGTCGGTGTCTGCACGGCGTCTTCTTGTTTCGCAGCCGCGCCTCCGGCAGCGGAACTTGCTGTTTCACTTATTTGCCAACGCACCTCTGACGTGCACGGCGCTTCTCTCTCTCGATTGGGGTCCCATCAAAAGGGGCAACGGATTGTTTTCACGCTTGTCCCGCTGACCTCGAGGAGGACCTCGAGGAGGTCCTCCCGAGGAGGTCCTCTCGAGGTGGTCCTATCGAAGGGGTCCTCTCGAGGTGGTCCTCTTGAGGGGGTCCTCGAGGGGGCCCTCTCGATGGGGGTCCTCTCGAAGGGGTCCTCGAGGGGGGTCGTCTCGAGGGGGCCCTCTCGAGGGGGGTCCGCTCGGGGGGGGTCCTCTCGGAGGGGGGCCCGCTCTCGAGGGGGCCCTCTCTCGAGGGGGGCCCTCCCTCGAGCGGGGCCCTCCCTCGAGGGGGGCCCTCTCGGGAGGGCTCCTCTCGAGGACCTCGAGGGGGGCAGCGAGGAGGACCCCTCCGCGCGAGGGGGCGGAGGCGCCCGCGGCCCCGCCCGGGGGGTCCTCGCTGGCCCCTCCGCGGCCGCGGCGGCGGGCAGGCCCCAGGCCGCGGCCGCCAGCAGCGCGAGCGCCGGGCCCCGGCGCGCTCCCCGCGGGCGCCTCATGGCCCGCGCGCCATGGCGGAGGGCGGCCCCCCGGGCCTCCGACGAGGGCGGCGACGTCGCCGACGTCGTCGCCTCGCGGACGATCTCGTGGCGTCCCTCCTCCTCCTCCTCCTCCTCCTCCTCCTCCTACTGCTGCTCCTCCTGCTGCTCCTCCTCCCCCTCCCCTCCCCCTCCCCTCCTCCTCCTCCTCCTCCTTCTCCTCCTCCTACTGCTGCTCCTCCTGCTGCTCCTCCTCCTGCTGCTCCTGCTCCTGCTGCTCCTCCTCCTGCTGCTCCTCCCCTCCTCCTGCTCCTCCTCTCTTCCTCCTCCTCCTCCTCCTCCTCCTCCTCCTCCTCCTCCTCCTCCTCCTCCTCTTCCTCCTCGGGCGCCGCGGCCTTCTCGGAGCGTGCAGGGCGGCCCCCGGGCCACGACGAGGACGGCGCCGCCGAGGCGAAGCCCGGGCGAGGACAAACATCGGGCGCGAGCATCGGTCGAGAGCATCTCCGAGATCCGGCGGCTTCGGCCTTGGGAGGAGGCCTCGGGCGCCGCGGACTTCGCAGGGCATCCAGGGCGGCCCCCCGGGCCTCCGACGAGGAAGGCGCCGCGGCGAGGAGACGCTGGTCGGCGGCGAGCGAGGGGGGGGAAAGTCCTCCTCCTCCTCCTCCTCCTCCTCCTCCTCCTCCTCCTCCTGCTCCTCCTCCCCCTCCTCCTCCTCCTCCTCCTCCTCCTCCTCCTCCTCCTCCTCCTCCTCCCTTTCTCCTCCTCCTCCTCCTCCTCCTCCTCCTGCTCCTCCTCCTCCTGGGGAGGGGCGCGCCTCCGACGAGGAGGGCGCCGCGGCGGCGGCGATTCTCTTTTCCCCCCAATCCCCGAACTCCGCCCGAAAGATTGCAAAAAACCCTGCACGAAGGATTGCAACAAAAACCCTTCGTTGCAATCCTTCGTTGTTTTGCCATCCTTCGTTGCAATCCTTCGTTGTTTTGCAATTCTTCGCTCAACCCTGGGAGACACCGCGATGGGGGCTATCGGGACGCCATGGCTGTAGAGGATGGACGCCCCCCCCATCGTATATACTTCCCATGTTCCAGCCTGCCTTTGCCCTCGACCGCCATGAGGAGTTTCGAGCAACAAGAGCGTACCGGAACTAGAGGGGTTTCACGCGTCAGGCCCTGGGAGGCGACACTCGCTCGACACTGCTTCGACACTTTTCTGGGTGCTCGAACTTATTTCTGGGATGTGGTCCTCAAGCACAATGGGAGCACCATAAGTATATACCAGGGCTGGACCCCAACTTTTCCTGGTCCTCTCGAAAAACCCACAAAGCCTGGGAGAGGGGTCGACATGACCCCTGGCGAACGAAAGGGGGGACGCGAGAGGAAGGCCGGGCCTTCTCAAAAGGCTCGGAGGTCCCCCAGCCTTTTGAGAAGTCTTCTGAGCCTTCCCCGAGTACAGTGGAGGCCAGTCCACTAGAAGCCTTCAAAGAAACCAAATCCTGAGACCCCGAGATGTCCTTGGCATAGCAAACCAATCGAAACCCACGAAATCCAGGGCACCCTGGAGGCAGGCAGGGTGTTTCTTGGCATGGGTCTCCACTGTGCATGAAAAAACCTTTCAAAGGCCCGAAGGCTTCCGAGAAACCCATCGCATTGGCCGCTGAGTCGAGGCCAGTGAACGAAGATAAAATCGAGTGAGGATGGGTCCAGAATCTCTGTGACCTGGCAAATGTTTTGGCGGGGAAAGGGAGGGGAACGGACCACATTCTTCAGCGGCCAGCGTCGTCGAGATACGAATGCCCCCCCCCCCCACACACCGGAAGCAAACTTCAAACAGGCAGCGATGAAACCCCGCAGGCAAGGCACACGGAAACGGTGGCATGTGAAACCAGGTTCTTCTTCCGGATGCGCGACAGCATTTCAAGCAAGAGCCTGCTCGAAAGAAGCAGGGCGGATCGGGTATACACCCTGCGAAATGTTTTAGAAATCATGGGTTAAGAAATTCATAGTCTCAGAATTTGAATAAAAACCCAGCGTGTCTATTCAAATTTTAGGATTTACATTGGAATATTAAGAATCATCGAGACTCTGGCCGAAAACTTGGGTTTTCTTAAGCATCGCCTAGAGTATAGCTACACGTCGCCGCAGGATCACCTGGGGCCCGCCAGTGGTGGTGTCATCGCGGCTTGTCCGTCATGGCCACAAATGACCTGTGACGCCCCTCGCTCCCTGCCGCGCCACGGCGGCCTGCGGCCCCCGGCCTCCGATGGGGAAGGCGACGTCGCCGTCGCCGTTTCAAGGATGCTTTCTGGATGTCCCTCCTCCTGTTCCTCCTCCTCCTCCTCTTCCTCCTCCTCCTCCTCCTCCTCCTCTTCCTCCTCCTCCTCCTCCTCCTCCTCCTGCTCCTGCTCCTCCTCCTCCTCCTCCTCCTCCCCTCCTCTTCCCCTCTCCTCCTCCTCCTCCTCCTGCTCCTATCTTCCTCCTCCCTTTCCTCCTCCTGCTCCTCCTCCTCCTCCTCCTCCTCCCTCCTCGTCCTCCTCCTCCTCCCTCGTCGTCGTCGTCGTCGTCGTCCTCCTCCCCCTCCTCCTCCTCCTCCTCCTCCACCTCTCCCCTCGTCGACGTCGTCCTCCTCCTCCCCTCGTCGTCGTCGTACTCCTCCTCCGCTTTCTCCCTCCGTCGAGGCGGCTTCCGCCGCCCCCGCTCCACGCTCCACGCCCGCGGCCGGGCGCCCGACCGACGCGAGAGCGGGCCCCCCGGACGCCACCAGGTGACCAACTTCCAGAGAAGGGGATAAGGATGGGGAGGGGCCGCAGCACCATCTGGTTGATCCCGAGGCCCAAAATTGGGCGCCCGAGTTATCCGGGGTAACTCGGGTCCGGGGCAACTCGGGATTGGATTCCCGAAAAAGGAACCCGAATCAGCCCTGACCCGAGTTACCCCTGATGATTCGGGGCTCTGGACGCCCGAGTTATCTGGGGTAACTCGGGTCCGGGGTAACTCGGGATTAGATTCCCGAAAAAGGAACCCGAATTAGCCCTGACCCGAGTTACCCCTGATGATTCGGGGCTCTGGACGCCCGAGTTATCCGGGGTAACTCTGGTCCGGGGTAACTCGGGTTTGGATTCCCGAAAAAACGAACCCGAGTTATCCCTGACCCGAGTTACCCCTGATGATTCGGGGCTCTGACAAAAAGGAGGAGACGGAGGTGGAGAGAGCGGCCGGGCCGCCCGCATGATGTAGAAGGGCAGCGCTACAACATGAGTCGGCGTAGTACCTCGTGTGTAACGATGTACTTGTACCCCCTCGTCCGTAGCGCTGTGGGTCGTAGTCTTCCCCGGCTTCAGGCAGGGTCTTCAGGCAGGGCACTATCGCCGAAACTGTTGCGGTCTGCGGAGTACCGCGGGCTGGAGCCGGCGCGTAGTGCCATCCGGCCAACGGGCTGTAGCGGACGTCGCGTCCAGCATCTCCGCGACGCAATCGTAAAACGCTTTGCCGTGCCAGCCGTGTACGGCGTGACCGATGGCGATCGGCTTTCTCGTAGTCCTGCTCTTCTGTGGGCCGTGGTGTTCGTGAGGTGGACCTCGTCGTAATACGGAGGCTGGCCCTGATGGCTGTGGTGGTCCACGTAGCCCCGCAAGTGGCCCCCGTAGCTCAGCGCGTGGGGGTCGCAGCTTAGCTGGTGGCCCTGGTAGCTGCTGCTGCTTGGTGAACAGCACGTGGTCCTGGTTGGACTTCGGATACTTCTCGTAGCTCTGCTCGCGGCCCTCGTAGCGCAGTTTGTAGCTCAGCTGGTTGGCCGTTCGCTTCGGGCCAGTGCCCTGGCAGCTCTGCAAGAGGTTCTCTTGCTCTGCTTGTTGGCCTCGTGGTTCAAGTTGTAGCACTCGTAGCTCTGTGGGTGGACCTCGAAGCTGGGCAGGTGGTTCACAAAATTACGTTCAAGTCCTGCAAGTTCAGCTTGTCGCTCTGGTGCTCTCTAGGAAGCTCTGGTTTGTCTTCTTGTGGTCCGGGTAACTCAGCTCGTGCCCTCGCAGCCCAGCTGGACCAGTCGGTTGCCCGTGTAGCTCAGCTGGTTGCCCTAGCAGCTCAGGCTGAAGCCCTTCGCCTGTTGGTGGTCGTTGTGGCCCTCGACGCTGTGCTTGTGGCCTTCGTAGTTGAGCTGGTGGCCTTGGCAGGTATGTTGAGCACTCTGGTAGCTCAGCTGGTGAACCAGTTTGCTCTTCCAGTGGTTCCCGGTGAGGCAGGTTGTGGCCCTCGTGGCCCTGCGCGTGGTCCTCGCCATACAGGCTGCAGACCTCGTAGCTGAGACGGCTGCCCTTGTAGCTCTGCTGGTGGCTCTTGTAGCTCAGCAGGAGGTCCTGAATTTCCTGCTGGTGGTCCTCCAGTGTCAGCCTCGGTGGTCCTCATAGCTTCGCGGGTGGCCCTGGCGCCTCCTAGTGCCTCTCGTGGCTCAGCTGGATGCCCTCGTATGCAGCTGGTGGCCCTCGCAGGCATATTGGAATCTCTGATTGCTCAGCAGGAGCCAGAGTAGCTCTGCAAGTGCCTCCCGTAGCGCAGGTTGTGGTCCTCGTAGCCTGGGCTGTGGCCCTCGAATTCAGACCGCGGCCCTCGTGATGCAGCGAGTTGCCCTTGAGGCTCTGCTGGCGGCACTTGTGGCTCAGCAGCTGCCCTTGGTACCTCTCCTGGTGCCTCTTGTGGCTCAGCTGGAGAGTCTCGTGCTCGTTCTTGTGGCCCTCTTAGCTGTGCGTTTGGTCCTGGTGCTTCAGCTGGTGGCCCTCGTAAGTCTGTTGGAAGCTCTGGTAGCTCAGCAGGTGGCGCAGAAAGCTCTGCCAGTGGCTCCCGTAGCTCAAGTTGTGGTCCTCGTAGCCCTTCTCGTGGTCCTCATGGTTCAGCCTGTGGCCCTCGAAACTGACCTGGTTTCGCGTGCAGCTATGCTGGTGACCCCTGTAGCTTGGCTGGTGGCCCCGGTACCCTTGCTGGTCCCTCCTGGCTGAGCTGGGTGCCCTCGTACGCAGCTGGTGGCCCTCGTACAGACGGCTTGACTCTCTGGTAGCTCAGCAGGTGGCCCGGGCATGTGTTCTGGAAGTGGCTCCCGTAGCCCACGTTGTGATCATCGTAGCCTGGGTTGTGGCCTGCGTGTTTCCTTCGTGGCTCTGCTGGTGGCTTTTGTAAATCAGCAGTTGACCCTCGCACCTCTCCTGGTGCCTCTCGCGGCTCAGCTGGAGGTACTCGAAGTTCAGCCAGTGGTCCTCGAAGGTCGCTTGGTTTTCCTGCTACCTCTGCTGGCGGCTGCAGCAGTTCAGACGGCATGCTCCCTTCGTAGCCCCCGAAGTCCGAATCGTAGTCGCCGGCTGCCAAGTCGTAATGCTCCACGTTTTGGTGGTGGGAAAAAAGCTGGGGATCGCAAGGGGTGCAAGTCGCGAACATACCGGTAGTGCGCTATGCGGCCGTTGTCCACCGGTGCCTCCACGACGACATACTTAGCAACCCCTTCGGGCTGCTCGGTCGCGTCGTTCTTGGCGTCACTCCTAGTGTCGCACTTGGTGTCGTACTGGTGGTGGTCGTCCTTGGGCTGCCTGTTGCTCAGCTCAAAGTCGCACGTGGGCTGCATGTTACGCAACTCGTTCTCGCAGCTGGGCGGCATGCTACACAGCACGTGCTTGGACGCTCTTGCGAAGGCGGTCGTAGCAATGATAATGGTGTCGTCGGGCCAGGGCTGCGTTCCTTGCAAAACATTGTGCCCCTCTCGTTGTTGGGCCGCGTGTGTTAGTGCCCAGCGACCTCGATGCGTGTCTGGCTTCGGCATCCTTGCCGGCACGTGTTCACACGCGGAGTAAATTTCTGCAACCTTGTATAGAGGAAAAAGAACTATGCACATACACCGATTCTGGCCAGGCCCATCCTGAGCCCAGGATCGGTGCATACGCCCTGCCACCTTGGCCAGGAAGGCATATGCACCGATCCTGGGTCAAGGATGGGCCTTGCCAGGATCGGTGCATGTGCATATTTTTTTTCGCCCGACTTGTAGCTCAACAACTGCTGGCCGATGTTGTAAACCCCGGTAGTTGTCTTTCTCGTGGCTGACGCCGTCGACAAAAGGAGGATCCCCTCCTGGTGGCTGTTGTTGCACACGCCGTACGCGCGCCGCCGACGGCGGCGGCGCGCTGGGGCCCAACCCCCGTGGGGTCCCGGCGCGACGGCGCGGGGGGCCTGGGGCCAGAATGGCCTTCCTCCTCGTCGCCCTACTCCTCCTCCTCCTCCTGCTTCTCCTCCTGCTCCTCCTCCTCCTCCTGCTTCCTCCTCCTGCTCCTCCTCCTCCTCCTCCTCCTCCTCCTCCTCCTGCTTCCTCCTCCTGCTCCTCCTGCTTCCTCCTCCTCCTGCTTCCTTCTCCCCCTCTTCCTCCTCCTACTGGGAGGGGGCTGCGAAGTTCCTGCCGAGCGGACCCTGCGCGGACGAAGTCGGGATGGAGACTGTGCAACATTTTTCGGCCCCGGGAAGCCTTGTCGAACACCTGGGTAGAGGGCAGAGAATACACCCCCATACGAATCACCCCGACACGCGAAGCAATTTACAGTCGGACTTCATTGGAGAGGACACGCGAGAGGACACGAGACCCTTCCGAAGGCCACATCGCCATTGGAGTGTAAGAAAGCACGTGCCGCGAGGCACAGGACACAAGGGTACCCTTGAGCTGGCAGGGTCGACCTACTCATCCAGGCCGACTGTAGAAAGAAAACGCACCCACAGAAGGACTCAAACAAGGCAGGGCTGTTTAGTAAACGCCCACGGCGTTTAAGTAAACGCCAATCGTCGGGTCCGGGTGGCTTTTCCTCCCTCGACTGGGGCACGACCCGGGGCGAAAAACTGGCCCCCGGGACGGAGCCGACAGGTCTGGGGCCACGCACTGAGCAAGCCAAGACGCCGAGGTCTGGACACCCAGCCCTACCACGCGTCGCGAGTCGGCTACGCGCCACGAGTGACCCTGGGTACGAGCCTTTGGTGTGCGGCTTTTTGGGGGCCGCGGTGGGGCCAAACACGAGCGCGCAAGACGCCACCGCCGCCTGGCGTTCGGCGATCGGGGGACCCCAGGTTGGCCCGGACCAAAGGTCAGTCTGGCGAAGGGTCACTCCTACGTGTAGTCGGGCGGTGAAAAGTGCGTGCGTCCTGCTGTTAGCTGGGCCTCCGCAGACCACTGGAGGCCTCATGGTGCCTGGGACCTCTGGACACCGGCGGAAGCCTGCGAAGAGCTGCGGCGACCCAGACCACGTGGAGAACCGAGCATCATCGCCTTCGAAGCTCCCGTAGATTTCCGAGTCCAAGGGCTGGCTCATTGATGGGCCGATTCTCCTCCACCACTACCATAAGTCGGAGAGGGAGGAGGAGGAGGAGGGGGAGGAGGAGGAGGAGGAGGAGGAGGAGGAGGAGGAGGAGGAGGAGGAGGAGGAGGAGGGAGGCGGAGGAGGAGGCCAGGAGGAGGGGGAGGGGCGGAGAGGGCGGCTCGGGATGAAGGGCCGCCCCCCCCAGAACGGGATCGAGGGTCGAGGACCAGGGTAGCCAACGCGCAGGCGCACGGCAGCAGGTCTTCGGAGGGCTGGGCCCCTGGGTCGCGATGAGGTGTGCTTGATGGGCCTGTTTTCCACCACCACCACCACCATAAGTTGGAGGGGGGAAGGATGTGGAGGATGAGGAGGAGCAAGAGGAAGAGGAAGAGGAGGAGGAGGAGGAGGAGGAGGAGGAGGAGGAGGAGGAGGAGGACCCCCTCCCCCTCCAACTTATGGTGGTGGTGGTGGGAAACAGGCCCATCAGTGCTCGCGTCCCTCCGTGATGTCAACGCCTGGTAGCAGTGAGCGGGCCCTGGGCCCGCAATACCAGTGCCTGCGGCAACCGACACAAATGTAGCGGGAAGGGGGTCAGCGGACGCGACGTCGCTCGGAGGAGGTCCGGGACGACTCCGGAGCCGGATCGAACCCAAGACGGCTGCGCACGAGATGGGGAATGTGATGACGAAGATGGAGATGCTGATCACGCGAGGCACGGGAACATGATGATGATACTGATGCTGATGGCGGTGGTGGTGAGGAAGATGATGAGGATGAAGACGAGGACGAGGACGAGGATTATGATGATGCTGCTGATGATGATGACGATGTTTTTGCGGATGTTGATGTTGATGTTGATGATGCTGCTGATGATGATGTTGATGATGATAATATTGATGCTGAAACTGACGCTGATGCTGCTGCTGACGCTGATTGATGATGAAACGCCCCCCCCCAGCTGGGAAGCCAAGGGTCCACAGGGAGTACGGAGGGAGCGAGGAAGAATATGAATTGAAAAAAGATGACGAGAGTCGAGTGGGTCTGGCAGAGCACGAGACGATGAGGAGGACGAGGATTTGGAGGGGGAGCGACATCTGCGAGCAACCCGGGGGGGGGGCACCACGCTGTGGAGTCCCCAGCTTGATTTGGGTACAATCAATCCATATCATGGGGACGCACAGGAAGGATGCAAGGGCCGTGAAGGCCATCTCGAAGCTTTTCGAGCGGTGCGCGGCCAACGAAAGTGGCAAAGGATGGACAGAGGAGGGAAGGATGCAAAGGTACTCTTGGAAAGGTGTCCCATCCTTACCATGCCGGTCGACTGTATTCAGTGTCGCCTATTGACAGCTGCCCCTGGTGGATCGCAGCATGTCCTCTTTCTACTACGAGGTGCCGCGCGGCAAGAAGAAATGGGTCTCCGCGGTCTCTGCCTCGACCCCCTAGCCGTTCCAGGCCGCCTCAAGACGGTGACCAGGACAGCACATCGCGGCCAAAAGGGATCCACTGAGCCTCGAGTGCCGTCTCAAGAGGCCCAACGAGAGATCAAACATACAACAACATCTCAAATGGCTTTCAGGTACCCCATGTCGGCCAAAGAAAGCTCCAAGAAAACCACCCAAATGCCTCCAAACTCTCTGCTACGGCAACGGTTCGTGGACCAACCAAACGATGCTTGATGCCTTGCTTTTGGTTGGTCGCACGCTGTCCCGCCAATGTGCCCCTGAAGCCCCAAGCTAGCTCCAAGATCGCCCAGCATGGCTTCAAATTGGCCTGCGCCAACTCAAGATCCCTAGAGCGCACCAACTGACAGTCTGTGAAACGGGAACCATAGTCTGCTCCAGGATGCCCCCCCGAAGTATCTAATATGGCTCGAGGGCAATCCCTATATAACCGACGATAAGTTCAAAGAAGCCCCCCAGAGGCCCAAATGCGTCCCCAAGTAGCCTTGGGATGGCCCAGCGAAGCCCCGAGAAAGTCCAAAGGCGACCATCGTCGATTCTGAAGCTGGATGGAGCTCAAAGGAGGGCCACCGGCAGAAGGCGCAGCTGTTCAAGTATGACAGCAATTCTGTCAGTGAGGCTTGCTGCTGCTGCCCTGGCATGTGCGGAATGTTCATGTCGCGGTGGCGTCGGCGTTGCTCTCTGACACACCCTGGATCGCTTCACCTCGAATCACCGAGGCCTTCCGAGTAATTCGGGGATGGACAGACCCCCCTTAGTAAAACGTGGTTTAGTGAAAACGACCTGAGGCCCAATCCTGGCGGGCGCAGGCCTGGAAAATAACGGCCACGGCGCCCTCTCGAGAACCGAACACGGACAATTCACTAATCGACGTGTCCCTGTTGGGGGTTCTGTCCACCCCCGAGTAATACAGACTCTGCCTGGGACGTGGACCCTCTGATGCAAGAGTGCACGGGGGCGCGCGCCCAGCTCATCGGCGCCAGTGATGACGCCCTGGGCCCCTGCGATCGTTTGCCCAAGGACGTTGCCAATCCATCGCAGCGCGTGGCAATCTCGACAAACCTACACCCTGCGAAATGCTTAAGAAATCATGGGTTAAGAAACTCAGAGTCTCAGAATTTGAACAAAGACTAAGAAATTCGATTGAAATCTTA